ACCCAACCCAACCCAAAATTTCAATCCTTGACACAACCAATTCATTTTTCTCTCTCTCCCCCCTCTTCTCTCTCTTCTCCCTCTACTCATTATCGACGCCTGCAACCCAAACCCTATTATCCATATTCATTTTCTCCTTTTCAATCTCTCTCTACTCTTACCTCACCCCCACCACCGGTAAAGATGCCGGAGAAAAGGGGGCAGTGATGTACGCCTTGGGTTGTGGTGGATGCACCGAAAGCCAGCGACGTCGTGCAACTTTACAAGACAGTCTTTGGAGCTGAGGAGCTGAGCCGCGTCATGCACATCAAAAGGAAGGCTGATCACGAGATTTCGTTTGTTCAACACGTTAAATTATATATCCCTAACCATTTCTCTATTCTCAATCAATCTCATTTCCAATTCCCAAAAATGACTTTCTACAAATTCATTATTGCAATTTTATTGCCTCTTTTCTTCATCCACGGTCACGGGATAATCATCATCGTGCGAAACAACTGCCCCTACACTATCGGCTCGCTGTCGTGCCCGGCGGAGGTCGACGCCTCAACAGCAGCCAGACATGGTCGCACGGCTACCCTAAAGAGAACTTAGTCAAAATTTGGGCTCGTACTAATTGCACGTTTGATTCATCGGGTAGGGGTAATTTCCTCACCGGAGACTGTGGCGGCTTGCTTGGATGCAAAGAGTTAGGTGCACCTCCGACGACTTTTGCCAAATACGAGCTGAACAGTTGGGCCAATAAGGACTATTACGATATCTTTCCTGAACTCAAGATCAAATCTGCTATTGTTGTTGTATTGGACCCCATTGATGACGACTCTGCTAAACTTGATTAACTTTTGGTACAACTAATGGCAGTATTAGTAGTTAAAATAGTCTGATGGAGGTTAAGCTGCTCATAATCATGTATTGGTTAGGGATTTTGAATGATTAAACTTGGTTTATGTGACCTTTTATCTTACAGATGGCTGTTATGTGCTTATTACTTGATAATTAATTTCTCTGCTTCTCCGAAGTGATTTTCTTATTGCAAATATGTGGTTGCTTTAATTTTTAAAGCCGCATTTAGTGGTTTTAGAGTGGTTCCACTTGAAGCAATCTGCAATGTTCTACCTTCTTCTTTAGGTTACATAGAGCTGCCAATATCTTCCATGTCTGATTGTGTGTTTGAGTTTGGGTTTGATCTATAAGTGGAATGGTGAGGGTGTTAGTAGTGGAAGAGTGGCTTGCCCAATTGTTTGAGTT